TATATATATTTGTTCTGGTACAAGACGGGCCCCTATATCATACAAGAAGACAGAAGCAGTGAAAATTATTGTTTATTAACAAAATAATATTGCATACTTTTTTGTTTCTTTGTGTATGGATACACATTCTACCTAACCTGCTTTAGATACCAAAATCATTCAGTCCAAATGATAGAGATATTTACAATGCTAATCAACAGCCATCTAGGTTATACCTAGGTTACATGCAAAGACGTGACACAAAATCTCTTTCAGTTTAATCAGTCATAATAAACAAATAAAAATTAGATAAACAGAAAGCATGAAACAGATAAAGAAACACGAATCAACACAACGAATAACACTACAAATATAAATATATTTAAACTCTTGCATCAATATATTTCATTCTGAAGTATATGTTGTACATTCTTCAGTTTGTAAAGCAAAGTATACATATATTGAAATATAAATGGCTAACTCTTTTTTCTTACCCTCTTGAGATTTTGTACACAAAGAGCACCCTTCTTTTGTTTCTTTACACACCAATATAAAACAAGCAAATATGTCTCTATATCTATGTCTATATCTCTATCCTATCGTTCTATATGAATCTATAAATAAAACTAAGTACCATGTGGCTCACTCCCTCACCTCATGTGATATTAATTACCTGGTGCTACCTGCAAATAGTTGAAGGAAAACATTGATTAGAGTACTCTAACGTGCTTCCATTTTCCTAAGACAATCAAACCACAAGCTCAATAACCCTTAAAAATCTTTGCAATCTAGCACTATTGAGGATTGCTTGTCACACCTTAGTTCAGTACTTCCTCTCCTTGTGCATTATAATTATCACATATCGTATGATATCCCAAAGAGGAGTTAGCCGTACCAATTGGTCCCTTGTATTTGGTATTGTGGGAGCTGGTTAAGCAGAGTAGCAAAGGAGCCAGGAGAAGCATTGTTCTCTTCAGTCCTCACAACACTGACATTACCATTAGTGTCCAAATTGAAGTGTTTTTCATCACTGTCATCGTTCCAGTTATAGAGTGTTGAGAGTGTTCTTTTGGAGGCTGAAGTGCCAAACTGAGATGGCATGGCACTTGTGGCAGTAGTGCTCATCCCATTCACACCATTGCCTATAACCACCCCTTCTAACGTGTTTCTGTCATTTTCCAACAATGCACCACTGTAGCTCGTACACATCTTTGAAAGGTGAAATCTCGCATTCATGTGGCCCACGTTCATGGAAGAAGGTACTTCTCCAATCATGTCATCCATGGAATCATCCCTCTCCTGCTCCATGGCTGACCTTTGTGTGTTGCCCTTCTTGTAGATCCGGCACAACACCCAATCATCCAGCTACAAATCCATGCACAATTCATATTATATATTATTCTTCCATAGTAATCATAAAATATGTTAAATATTAAATACTTTTCTCACCCAAACTTTAACTTTCTTATAAACACTTCACTCAGAAAGAAAGAAAGAAAGAAACACAAAGTGAAAAAAGAAAGAAGAAAGTGTGATTTATGCTTCAGCAATGTGTTTTATACATTATTTTAATATATCCTAACTTTTACACATATTGCGAAAGAATTGGTGAATGAGAAGGGTGGTCTAGTGGGGGAAAAAGTGATGTGCATGATGTGGTCAAAAGTGAAGCAGAACAAAGCTAACTTTTACATGAAAAAAGGGTTTACCCTTAGGGAGTTTTTCTTGTGGCCCAAGTCACAGCCAGGTGGTCTGTTGTTAGGCTTGGTTTCAGCGAGACGATACTCATGCATGATCCAATCGGTTTTCACCCCTTTTGGTGGCTTTCCGCCGTAGAAAACCAAAGATTTCTTCACCCCAACCTTTTGAGTTCCACTGCATATGGGTTTATCTGTCCCCGTCGCCTTCCAGTACCCTGAAGTTGCAGCCCTGTTTGGCCTCGCGCCATTTGGGTACTTCCTATCTCTTGGACTGAAAAAGTACCACTCTTCCTCCCCAAACGATGCCTTAGCTGCATAACCAAATGCAAACAAAAAAGTATGAGCAAAAACCGAACAAAAATACAAAAATGAAAAACTAATAACATCCGTTTCATTTTTCATCCATATTAAATTATAATACAAAAGATATTTTTATTCCACTTGCTGAGGTTACCACTGTATACAGTGAGACCCAGATAAAAATCAAAAGGGTGGATCATGAAGTTTAATATATTAAAATCCAAAATCTTAATAGAATATGAAAAGTTATGTAGAAATCACGGTTGATGAGCGTAAACCTCGAAAATCATGATATTGTGAGCAATAAATAGAGTTTAAAGATTGCGATTTGCAACATATTTGTTATAAGGGTAAAATTGGAGAGAAACCTGGTAATTCCCATGGATCAAACTTGTAGAGATCAACATCAGCGATGATGGAAACAGGGAGAGGAACAGAATCAACTTTCTTCTTGAGGTAGTGAACCACGAGCTCTTCGTCTGTGGGGTGGAACCGAAAGCCGGGTGGGAGGTTTGGTTGTTGTTGTGAACTGGTTGATGAGTCTTCGGTGCTGTCCATGGTTATTTACCGAGGTTGTTCAGCACTATGTTGGGTTCCAATGGTTGTTTTGCTTGTTGTTGTTATGGGTTTGGCTTCACACAAGAAGAAAACACACATCTTTCACTGGATGATGATGATGATGATGATGATATGTATGTAGCTTTATTTACCATCCAAAGTCAAGGTGAAGGCCATGATCTTATGTGGCTGTGGGAAATGGAAATGATCGCCTACGAACGCCTCCAATGTTGCACTTAATACATGAATGTGGGTGTGTGAATGATTCCATTACTCATGGGAGGGGCATATGCGTCTTTTGAGAGTGTTTGAGGTAGAATCTCATTGACGAATTTAAGAGAATATATATAATAGAAATTAAAACAATACAGTTTTGAGGGTACATATATTTAGATATACATTTAATCTTATGCGTGATTTACTTTTAATGTGATTTTGGATTTAAGTATTGTGCATGAAAACAAAATCTCAAGAGAATTGATCAAAATAATTAAATTAAATATTATCTTTTTTGTGAAAAAAGAATCACATTAAACTACATAAATTTTAAAAAGTATTGTGTATTAATTAAGAGAACAGATAAAATTACCTGTTAGAAGTTAAAACATTAATTAATACTTTTAAATTTTTTACTGAGTTTATTATTAAAGAATCTCTTATGAATAGATTTTTTTCGGTCAGCAGCTCAGCTTCTGAAAATTTACTGCATTCATTTCCAAAAATAAAAATTATACATGATAAGATAAATGTATAAAATAGTTTTCCATTACCGTCGACCTATCTATTTCAATTTATAATAAAATAATAATGCCAAAAAGCACACTATTAACAAATATACTATAATACTCTTATTTGCACAATTAAAAACTCAATTAACCAATATTTTTTAATAAACGTGTTTATATAATGAAAAAACATCAATTCAAAAATAAATTGTGAGATCAGAGTATTTAATAAAGAATTATTCAAATATTAATATGATAGGATTTAAGTTATTGACCTAATGTTCTTCAAAAGAAAAAGAAAATAAAGTTATGGACTTGATGAAGGAAAAGGAGTGCGGTTGCAAAAGAAAGAGTTGGGTGGAATAACACACGAATACACCAACAAGAAGTTCGGCCGTTGAGAGAACGACACGTAAGATTCCGAAGCATGTAATGTTGACACGTGAGTGGGACCACACAACAATATTATTTTCTATTTTTATTTTCACTGTTTTACATTATTACGAAACTGTGATTAATCTCGACCGTAAAAACATACCGGAAACTAAGATTAATCTTAATTATAAACTGCAGCGAGGCATTAGAACTGTAGAGAATCTGATGAAAACATGATTGTGATGTGAAGTTGGAAGCCCCTACAGTTTCGAAAATAAATGCTATAGGGTGTGCAGTTCATGGCGCAGCCACACGATTTATTTATTACGTACATCTGTCGAAAATGAAATTTGCGATATGAGAAATATTGAATGGTGGAGATGTGGTGGTATTGAAAAGTGAGTCTAGATATCTAAGTTGGATGGTGATTGATATTAATTTTAATTTGTTTTATGTGATAAAAAAATAAAAAAAATAAAAAAGTATAGATCGGAGGAAAGATAAGTGTGGGGACAAAGGTTTTCCACACTTTCTGCTTTTGTTGGACATATTAGACAACCAATGCCAACATCAGCCAATGGATTAAGAAATTTTACCATGACAAGTGCTAAATCAATGGTCCCACAAGCCATTAACTCAACCTTCACTTTTTTTTTTTTTTCTCTTTTCTTTTTTCTTGATCTCGTGTGGACCCCACTTATACCGATGGTATTAAACATATGGTTGATCCACACAAAAATAAATAAATAAATAAATAAATATAAACAATAACAATTAATAACAATAACAAAATAAGGTATTAAGCCTAAAAAATATGTTGCTTTTTTAAAATAGTTGCTTAAGAATTTTGGTTCGATAGTTATTTAATCTATTTTTATAAATCTAATAAACTCAATGTGAATCCATGGTAGTAAATAATAGTTTTCAATTTAAATTATAAATTCCATAATTAATACAAAGTTGATGTATAAATTGTTTATATTGTAGATCGATTTTACAAACACATTTAACTTATCGAATTGTCTTTTATATGAATATCAATTAGAAATTTATACATTTTTTTCTCAATGATCATATTTTTGTGTTTTAGATAAACATAGAATATTTTTGTGTTTTAGATAATACATGTCTTGACACGTCTTTTTTCCACCCTTATGAGTATGACCATTTACGTAGTTATTTCTTCGATTAGATTATTTCCTCAATGCCTTCAACAGGAATGCAAAAAACATAAATGTAGAAAAATAAATTACCAATAATAAAACATAAACTAGTAAAAGAAATATATGAAAGCGGTAACTCAAGTTGCAATAAGCATCATTATAAGATTAATCATTATACTACGTTGTTTAAGATTAACCATTATTTTTTATTTGTTTTAGATAAAACGTCAAATTTTTTTGACCATAATAATTTCTGATTATATATTAAATTAAATCATGTACGTATAGTGAGAATTTTTTTAGTATTTTGGCGATTATTTAATGTTTTTATTCATGCTTTAAGATGCCTATCTATTTCTTTTGTTTCATTGAATAAGTTCCTAAAGGCTTGAAACTATTAATTAAGGCAAATAATTATAATGCACGGTTATTTATAAGAGGGAGAATAAATATGATATTATACAATTAACAATATACAATAAAGACTAAGAGTGAGACTTTCATTTCTTTTATTCTCTCAAGGCATTGGAATTGGTTGTAAATCACAAATTTGACTCTCAATTATAATAAATGGGTCTTTTTCTTGATTTTATTTTCATTATTTTCTATCTAATAATAGTATAGAATAATATATATTAGAGAGTATTTAGTAACATTTTCCTCTCAATTATTTTTCTTAATTTTTTTTTTCGCGACTACACGTGCACCCCGGCCTAAGCATTTTTCCGTTAGGCATATGTTTTAAATATTATCTATTTTAATTATTGAAACCTTGTTTTAGCCACAAGATGCATTTTAATAGATTGAAAAGGATATTTACATATTACTATTTTTTTTATCTTCATTCTTTATTAACCTGAGATAGCTCATCATATAAGACATCACTGACATAACATATAACTTTTATTGAAAAATAAAATATAGAAACAGAAAAACATGATTTATAAATTCGAATATTTCTGTTTTCATAAAGCTATTAATAACTAATAATTTTATACTATAATTTAAATTATCTACTAGCAAACATAGATGCCAAAAAAAAATACTGTTTGTGTTCGCATTCTTGAAACTTTTTAAAAAAATCATTATTAAATATTATAATTATAAAGTAATAAAATAAAATATTTTTCAAAAATACATTTTAATTTTTTTTCTTGATTTATTCTTTATTTAAATTATAAAAAGATGAATTCTAAACGCCATAAATTATAAGAGTAGATAGATGTATTAAAATAATGAGATTGAACACTTAGTGTTAAAATAAGCTAACAGTATAAATAGAAGTTTTAAAACATTCAGCTCATTATATCTGTATGTTTTATCTCTAAGAACACTATCTTCTACCTTTTCTCCTCCTTCTCTCTAAAATTACTCATTATTGGTTCATCTGATCGGTGATCAGAACCTCCCTAGGCGATCCTGAGATCAAGGGCTTCCTTTTCCACCAATCAATTTCGTGTTTAGAACCGGTAAGTTTGTCTCTCTTTGATTCTTGAAATTTCTGCAATTTCTGGTACATGCAAGCATTGTTTGGTTTTGCATGTGTTCATTTGGGTTCTGATTCTGTTTCTGGTTTGGTGGTTGGTTTCCTTTCACCAATCCAAAGTCTGTAGGTTGTCCTAGAATCACTTACGGTTTAGCAAAACTATGGAGAGGTTTAAATCTGTCAAGTTGCTTTGAGGTAAGGAAAGCTAGTTAATTTAATTGTTTGGTTGATGATGTATGAAAATGTTGTTGATGATTCTGCATATGTGTGAAATTGAATGATTTGATGTTCGGTGATGCTTGTGTGGACTGTTAGATGCTATGTTCACGAGGGTTGGATTTCTGCAGAATTTTTGTTCAATGGTCGAGTGATTTGTGAGGAAGTGTGATGGTGAAATTGGGAAATTTGTGTTCGGTGTGAGTTTGGTCTGCATAGAGAATCTAGGCAAGTTATTTATGACTCGTTGAGATCCTTAAGTCACTCAAAACTGTACTAAAATAGAGAAATCTGGTTTTCGATCCTTGAGTTCATGATTCTGTAGAATTGAATCTCAAATATGAGATGAAACTCTCTAAATGATGTTAGAAAGGTTTAGGTACTCTTAGTTAAATGTAAAGATATGTATGATTCATGTTTGGAGGATTAGAAGTTGGAAAAAATGTTTAGTTTTGGTAAAATTTAGCTTGTTCATAATTTTGTAGAAGTTCTGCAGAATTATGCAAAAAGCTGAGCGTTCGCTGTTGACCGCTCGGTCATGTTCAGGTACTCAATCATTAACTGGGTTCGGTCTCTTTAGTCTTACCCGTTCATGAACGTTCGGTCTTAGGTAGGTGGTCTCTCTTAGTAGTGCTTGATCTTGTACTAGCACTCGGTCTCTTAGTAATGCTCAGTCTTGTACTAGCACTCGATCTCTTAGTAGTGCTCTTAGTCTTGTACTAGCACTCGGTCTCTTAGTAGTGCTCGGTCTTGTTATAGGATTCGGTCTAACCTTAGTCCTTGGTCTTACAGTAGTATTCAATCTTGCACCATTGTTTGGTCTCGTAATAGTATTCGGTCTTAACTGTGTTCGGTCTCTGATGGGCCTTATCTGTTAATGATCGTTTTGTGATATTTTAGTAATCGATCTTATATTAGTATTCGATATCAACTCTAACTGTTCGGCCTAAGCTATAGGTGTTCGGCCTAAGTCATAAGCGTTCAGTCTAACGTAGTACTTGACTTGGTGGTAGTACTCGGTCATATTGTGGTACTCAGAATTCTCTAGTTGTCGGTCACTGATAATGCTCGACCCTCTCTTCAGCTGTACCTAGTATTGACCAGTCGGTCTCCAACATTCACATGAGGTTCGGTCTTACATGAGATTTTCCATTGTGGTTTGAGAACTTAATAAATTTAGTTATATGAATATTTTGTGCATAAGTGATGGTGTGGTTATTTTATTAATGTTTTATGTTCCAATT